CCCCCCTCCCCTCTGGCAACTACCAGCTTGTTCTCTTTATTTATGGACCTGCTCCTGGGTTTTTTGTTTGATTGTTTGTTTTGGCTTATCTGTTCATTTGCTTTTTGTTTTTTAGATTCCACATGTAAGTAAAATCATAGGGTATTTGTCTTTCTCTGACTTATTTCACTTAGCATACCTTCTAGGTCCGTCCATGTTGTTGCAAATGGAAAGATCTTATTTTTTGTTATTGCTGAGTTAATTAATATTCCATTGTATATATATACCACATCTTCATCCATTCATTTATCTACACTTAAGTTTCAACATCCTGGCTACTGTAAATAATGCTGCAATAAACAGAGGGGTGTGCATGTATCTTTTTGAATTAGTGTTTTCATTTTCTTTGGGTAAATACCCAGTAATGTGATTACTGGATAATATGGTATCTCTAATTTTCATTTTTTTAGAAACCTCCACACTGTTTTCCATAGTGGCTACACTAATTTGCATTGCCACTAACAGTGCACAAGGGTTCCTTTTTTATCCATATCCTTGCCAACACTTATTATTTCTTGACTTTTTGATTTTAGCCATTCTGACAGGTGTGAGGTGATATCTCATTGTGGTTTTGACTTGCATTTGCTTGATGATTAGTGCTGTTGGCCATCTTTTCATGGGTTTGTTGGCCAAAATGTCTATTCAGGTCCTCTGCTCATTTTTTAACTGGGTTGTATTTTTGGTGTTGAGTTGTGTAAGTTTTTTTAAGATATTTTGGATATTAACCTCTTACTGGATATATCATTTGCAAATACCTTCTCTCATTCAATAGGTTACCTTTTCATTTTGCTGATGGTTTCCTTTGCTGTTCAAAAGCTTATTTTGGTATTGTCCCAATAATTTATTTATGCTTTTGTTTCCCTTGCCTTAGAAGACATACCTAGAAAAATGTTGCTAAGGCAACAAAAGAGATTACTGCCTATGCTTTCTTCTAGAAGCAAAACTCTTACTATTTAATTACTGCATTATGGCGAAGTTTTTAAACTTAAGCATCTTCTCAAAATTTGCAGATCTTTATTACTAACAATCCTAGAAATCAAGCTCTGTTCTTCAGGTTTCATATATTATGATAATCTAATTTTTAAGAAATCATTGTAATGTAATAATGAAAACTGAGATGTAATATTCTCAATTCATTTCTAAAATCATAAAATGAATACATTTAGCACTTAAATCACTGATGATATGGGACTTTTAAGCAACAAGTCTTTAAGAGGGTAAATCTGGGTCCCAAAAGATTTAAAGCTGCCATCTTGGTGCTAAGATGACAGCCAGACATTTTGTGTGCAACAGGTTTCTTTCTAGTGGCCAGCAACAAGTATTTGTAACAGCTGGAAATCTTGCTGACAGTGCCAAAGTTTCAGGACTGATAAAATCAGGGGATTGAAACAGCTATGGACACTTCACACCCATTGGGATGGCTATTATCTCTCTCTCTCTCTCTCTCTCTCTCTCTCTCTCTCACACACACACACACACACACACACACACACACACACACACACACACACAAAATAAGAAGTGTTGAAGAGGATGTGGAAAAATTGGAAGCCCATGTGAACTGCTGGGGGGAATGTAAAATGACACAGCTGCTATGGAAAATGGTACGGCATTTCCCTCAAAAATTAAATGTAGAATTACTATATGATGTAGCAATTCCCTTTCATGTTCTATGCCCCAAAGAACTTCAAGTAGAAACTTGAAAGATGTTTGTACACCATGTTCACAGCAACGCTACTGACAATAGTCCAAAGGTGGAAGCAATGCAACTGTCCGATTGATAGATGAATGAACAAACAAAATGTGGTACACACGTGTACACACACACACACACACACACACACACACACACACACACACACACAGGAATATTATTCGACCTTAAAAAGGGAATTCTGACCCATGCAGCAACATGAATGAATCTTAAACACATTGTGCCATTATGCTAAGTGAAGTGAGCCAGTCAAAAAAGGACAACTATTGTATGATTCCACATCTGTGAGATACTTCAAAGAGTCAAAAAATAGAATGGTGGTTGCCAGGCACTGCAAGGAAGGGGGAATGGGAGTTACTGTTTAATAGATAAGGAGTTGCAGTGTGGAAAGACGAAAAAGTTCTGCAGATCGATAGCAGTGATGGTTGCACAATATGAGTGAACCTAATGCCACTGAACTGCATACTTAAAAAAGCTCACAATGGTAAATTTTATGTTATGTATATTTTACCACAATAAAAGAATAATGGTGCACCTGGGTGGCTCAGTCAGTTGAGCATCCAACTCTTGATTTTGGTTCAGGTCGTGATCCCAGGGTTGCCAAGATTGAGGCCCTGCTCAGGATTCTCCCTCTCTCCCTCTGCCCCTCCCTGCTTGTGCACATGCACTTGCTCTCTAAAAAAAAAAAAAAAAAAAAATTAAAAAAAAGTAGTAACTACGGGGGCACCTGGGTGGCACCCAACTCTTGATTTCGGCTCAGGTCATGATCTCACAGTTCATGAGATCAAGCCCTGCATCAGTACTGCTGTCAGTACAGAGGCTGGCTTGGGATTCTCTCTCTCCCTCTCTCTGCCCCTCCCCTGCTGGTGCACGCGCACACGTGCGCTCTCTCTCAAAATACACAAACAGTAAAAACAAACAGTAAAACAGGTACATTCTTTTAAAAAAATAATAACTATGGAACATATATACATGATTAAAAAGAGACCATGAGTGCGAGCTCAGTATTTGGGGTAGATGCAACAGGCAGTGGTTTAGGTTTCATTTCCTGAACCAGCTGCCTTGATCAAACCCCTGGTGGGCTATTATTTAGCTGAGGAGGAAGACCAATTTCAGCTTCTTTGCACCTTAAGTTCCCTCATTTCCAATACAAAGATTTTAATACATTTGAAGCATTTAGAATGCCTGGTGTATAAAAACTTGTAGATGAACGTTAGTTTTTATCATCATCAGAGGTGAACTTTTAAAGTTTGATTTTATAAACTGTAGGGTCTGACAAATATTTTGTTCATCCTTTTCTGCCCGAACTATGTAATTAGTTAACTGTCCCTAAAGCCCTCTGTCACAAGACAGCCTGTCAGCTGCTCCCTCTGTCAGAAACTCCTGATTATTTGGGGGTAGGACAGTTCTAGGGAACAGAGCCATAATTTATTCATGTTACTAGGCTAGTTCTAGCAACCCAGAGAACAGAAGAGAATAACTGTAATTTTAAAGACCATGTTTCTGGGTTTGTTGCTGTTGTCTTTTCTAGAGAATATTAGTGGTGGTCAGTTTAAACTTTTGATTTTGTGATCTTTTATTTCCACAAGAAATTTCACTAATTGTCACTCTAACCTATCTATATGTAATTCTGAAAAAAATCTTCAATCCAGAAGCCGCTGATAGGGTTTTCTTCAGACATTTCATCTCACTTGCCCCTGTGGACAGTTTTAACTCCCAATCCTTACACTTTCTGGTCCTCTCTGGACCATCGGATGCATCCTTCTTTCTTTTGTGACAGTCCAAGTATTGATATTGACTCTTCCAGCTTTCCAACTGCTTCTTCTTTCTCCCCCATGTTGGTTCTACCTTTGACTGCAAAACACAGGCATCACCCACTGTGGTAACCAGTTTTCTGCACTCCATCCTTCTTCGGACCTAACTAGGGAACAAATGCAATCATGGTTTCATCTATCACTTCTTCTTTGATGACTTCAATCCTCCTCTTCTGAGCCAATACCATAATTCAAGGAGTAGTATGCCAATTTCATAATTTCAGCTCTTTATCTGCCATCTCTCAAAACTGGCATCTGTGCCGATGACTGTTCCCACATCAATTCCCATGAAACATTGGAGGCATCTGTCCATTCTCCTCCTGAAGACTCTATAAGGGTTCCTACACTACAGTGAAATCAGTTTTAGTCCCTTCCTGAAGCCAGATAAGCCACATTAACCCCAAAGCTTTTCTCCTCTGATTTCCATACACTTATTACATAAATGTCAGCCTCTCCTCAACAGTCAACACCTGCTGGCAATCCACTGTATATTTTGTTGCACAGCTGAAAGTTTGTATGTCCAAATAATTTCCGCCCATCAAGACAGCAACTTCCTCAAAAGAGAAATTATGTCTCAACATTTTATGTTCTACAAACGTTACAGGGTATAGATTTAAGAATTTATATAAAGAATCATTTAAACTAATCAGAATTGAAAGAAGTACGTTATTAAGGCAGAGAGAAAGGAAAAAGAAAGAAAATTCCAATGAAAAGGCAGAAAAATAGAATCTAAGGATAATATGGAGGCAACTTTGGGTCCTGGCTACCTACTGAAGTAGAAAAAAACTATTCAATAGCAACTACTAAAGTTACTATTTATTTAATATTTACCAGGGTTAGTTTCCCTCTTTTCTTACCTAATGGTAAAACAGCCTTAATACTTATAACTTCAGGGAGGCTTTAAAATCCAAATTTTGGCCTGAGAAAATCAGATATTACCTAATGCTAAAAAGTTAAAATTTCATCTGAGACAGATTTCATTGTTAACTAGGGGTAAGCTATTTTTTGAAACTATTTCCATATATGTTATATATGCAATATATAAAAATAGTTCTATATATATGAACGGATATGTAATACATATATGGATGCTTTCTAGTTCACTAAAATAAGTCACATTATTAAAATGACATTTTTATGGGAAATGTAATTTCTAAAAAAAACCATTTGAGTGAGAAAATTAAATACTTTTCATAAAAAAGGAAAATAGTTTTTAGTTTTTATTACATTATAATACACTTGAGTAGATATATCTAACTTGTTTTGGAAAAAAAATGCTAATAATCAATATATAGAACCTTGCTAAATGACAGGAACTTATAAAATGATGTTTAAGCTGGTTCGTTAAAATTGAACAAAATATTTGATCAAAAAAATCAAAAACAATTAAGACTAAACAATGCTGACAAAGAAAATCAGAAGATGAGAAATACCAGATTAGATCTTGCAGTGTAGTATATTTCTTCTGAACTGTCCAAAAAACCATCACTGTCGGGCTGTTTAGCAGAGACCAAGAAACCCAAGTTATTTACACTTAAACTAAAAGCCACAAATTCACAAAGGGAAACTGTCACAAATGAGGTTAGTCCTGCTAATAATTTTATTAAGGCAAATGCCAAGTCAAATAATCTTAAGAAGCTTGTAAGGGGCGCCTGGGTGGCGCAGTCGGTTAAGCATCCGGCTTCGAGTTCGAGCCCCTCCGGCCAGGCTCTGGGCTGGATGGCTCTGAGCCTGGAGCCTGTTTCATTCTGTGTCTCCTCTCTCTGCCCTCCTCCGTTGCCTGCTCTGTATCTCTGTCCCAAAAATAAATAAAAACGTTGAAAAAAAAAAATTTAAAAAAAAAAAAAAAAGAAGCTTGTAAAATAGCAATATTGCAACAACTTTGCTTTGTAATACAGTTTTATTAAACTAGTATATAATTTAAATACATGCAATGCCAACTTCAAAAGAGAAACAGGAAACAAACTCAAACTGCCTTAACAAAGTAACTATTAGCATTTATAAACATCATTACTACTTTTTGTTCTTAACCTTCTACATCCTCTACATAAATGTTAGGTTTAAATGTTATAATCATTTTAAGAATTTTTAACATTCCTTTCCTCCATGCTGGTATACTGAATTAGAATAACTCCACTTTGTATACCTTTAGTCAAGTGGGTTCACAAAAGCATTAAATTTAAGAAAGTTTCCATTTCAATCCTTACTACTTATTAATAGTTACTTTCTTCTCAGTATTGAACAGAAAAAAAAAAAACATATAATCTGGAGCTCTAGGAAACTAATTTCATTAGGATTGATTTTGTTTTTTAAGTCTCATTTTTTAAATTCTTCCATAGGATAGTAACATCTCAAATATTTGCAAAACATGTTGTTTCTAAGACTGAATCTAAAAATATATCATCACGTATCTAGGAAGGTGTTTATAAAACATTAACAAAAAACAATAATGAAAAGAACATTCATAGAGTTAGCAAGCCTTAAATGAATGACAGACTTGATCTATTATGTATGCCTGGTCTCTCCTGAGTTTTAGTCCCAATAGATTTGACTCTACCCTCATGTTTAGAAAACTGGCTTACACTCTTAAAAGGCTGCCCATAAATTCAGTGAGATGTGTTTTATTGGTCCAACATTTTAATTTAAAATGGGGGCATTTATCCTAACAAATGCATACACAAAAAGCCCCTCGAAAACTGAAAAACAAAAATAAAAAAAAAATTAACAGGTCAGCATTAAAAACATTTAACAGGAGAATGGTAAAACTAGTACATTTCTCCTAACATTAAGAATATTCGATCTCAGCAACACAGATTTATTTTTTGTAATTTTAGAATTACTTACCTTTTTATTTCCCCAAATGCTTTTGAAAATATCAAGATCTAGACTTTGTAGTCATTACCAATATCACAAAGACTAATTAAAATATTTATTTTTAGTGTTAACATTCCAAGACTGCTCTACTTACAAGTTCATGATGTGGTTCTGTCTCCTTCCTTAAGGGTGGATCAAATTTTACTTGGCCAACTAAAGAAGAAAAGAAGTAAAGCCATGATCTCTTTCTGTATTCTTAAAGACGTAATAATTTTAAAAGTTACTCTATGGCAATACATTTAATTTTACCATGTACCATATAGGGATCAAAACCCAATGTTTTAAATTAAGAATCTGTTGGCTGGAAAAAGTCCAAGAAAGTCTAGGTAGGCTATTTAAAGCTAAATCTGTTAGTCCTAAGCCTCTTCCATAGTAAAAAATAAAATAAAATAAAATAAAAAAATGATTAGCAGAATTATGTGTATGTTACAGTCAGGATCTAACCTACTTCACTGTGACCCAGCATTCACTAGAGAGCATCTAACTCAGGATTTAGGTGGGCAGACAGCAATTGAGGCAGACTACTTTTGAAAGCCAGCCTTCAAGTTGGCCTCTAATGATTCCTGCCTCCTAGTGTTCATCAATTTGTGTAGTCCTTTCCCACATCACCAGCGTTGGTCTTTGTGATCAAATGAATATGGCAGAGTGATGGTGTATCACTTCCAAGGTAAGGCTTCTATCTTGGGCTCTGTTTTGGACTACTTGCTCTGAAGTCATGTTGTGAACAGCCCTAAGGAGAGTCTAAGTGGCAAGTAACTGAAGCCTCAGTTAATAGTTACGCAACCACAGAAGCAAATCCTCCAGCCCAGCCCAGCCTTCAAATGACTTTAGCCCCAGCTGGTATAACTTCATAACAGATGTGAGCCAGAACCACCCAGCAAAGTTGTCCTGGATTCCTGAGCCTCAGAATATGTATGAGAATAAATGTTCATTATTTTAAGCTACTCAATTTTGGGGAATTTATTATACAACAATAAATAATACATCACTGGAGCTCAGGTATAAGCTACCTAGAGCATATATAAACTGTACTACTTTCACCTTCTTCCTTGCTATTATAATATACTGAATGTTTCATTATCTTTACCTCTAATTTCCATATCTCACTATCATTATCTGCTTTTATCACCAGGGTAAAGCATTCAAAACCACTGAAATAAAAGCAGAGGCACAAACAAAACATTAAAAAGAAGAAACACAATCACAAATATATCACAGTTCAACTAGTAAGAGCTTCAGCCAAAACAGTCCTTCTCAATCAAGGTCAGGAAATGAGTGAAATTTTAAAGTATAATCATTTTTATAATTGCTTTTATTTTAGCTTAGTATGTATGATTTACTGTGAATGTTAATACCAGTTAAAAGAAACCATGCGATTTGAATATTTATCAATAGAAGGGATAAGTGAAAAAGGCTGGGAAACACAGCCCTGTAAGACCTCCAGTTGTATAAGTATGTACATAGTTTATAGCTGTTATGGACCAGATATCAAATTCTGGCCCCTAGAGATGAGTAGGTTCTTCAGTAACGGGTTCCTCACCCCTGTCCACACATGATCACACATCAAAGATCATAAAATAACTTTTAGGTAAGGTATTAAAATATTTTAATATCTGCCTACCTTACCTTGATACAGGCCTATTGAACAGCTCTCACCTGTATTTGTCATCAAACAGCAAAGTTAAATCTGTGTAATAAACTTACATGAGGACAGTTTGTGCATCTATCTGTCTTGTGTTACTGTCACATGTGAACATACCTGCTTCCCCCCGCCAGAATAATCTGTATATTCTGTATACATATAATCTGTATAATCACTGAGTGCTGGGGAGCAGAGATGTTGTCTTAGACTAACTTTCCTAACAAGGACAAAATCTTAACTGTAGCAGGGCTCCTATACCCTTGTCCTCTGTGGGCAAAGTACTACTCTGTAGTCTGTGGGAATGCATTGCTAGAAGCGGGGGGGGG